ACGCGTGGTCAATGGTCTAACCGCTAAGGCATGCAACACATAAGAGTACTTCGTGAACTCGGCAACCAGGTTACCGGGTTTTTTTTCTTACCTCTGTTTTTTTTTGGCGGTCACCATAATGGTGGTCGAGTAGATCATGTTGTGCGGGGTCGAGAACCCTCACTCCGAGCAAGGGGGATGATCGCACCACGTTGTGTTAAAATGGTCAAGCACCCTCGAGGCAGTTACACAGTGCTTACAACTGTCTCAGGAAGTGAAAGCACCAGAAAATAAATTAAGTCATACGCAGCTGTCATCCGTACGCAAGGAAGTAAGCACAAGATGCCGAAAACCCTTAGCAGGATGCAGCGCACCCTTCATGCGACTCGCCGAATACCTCATGGCGCTTCGCGCTTTGTGATGTGAGAGCCTGGTCCGGTGAGAACCCGGCGTGCTCCGTCCCGGCTTTGTAGGGATGCGAGGTCAATGGTCTAACGACNCTTTGTGATGTGAGAGCCTGGTCCGGTGAGAATCCGACGTGCTCCGTCCCGGCTTTGTAGGGATGCGAGGTCAATGGTCAAACGACTACGGCATGCACGACTATGAGTACACCCCCCCTCCCCCCCCCATCCCTCTTTACTCCCTATCGGCGCGCCCCTGAGTCCCTCCCTCCCTCTTCGGCGATGCTATGATGTGTGGAATTTTCATTCATTTTCGCTTCACTTCCCCTCACACTCATCCGCACATCCGCCCGTCCAACCGATCCCTCTTCCGCCCCGTCCCGTTTCGCCCCATCCCGTGCCGTCCGGGTTCCCCAGTGCTTCGGAGGGCTCAGACTCGTTGACGCCGAGGACGCCTGGCAGCTCCTCTACTTTCTTCTCGTGGCCGTCGTGGCCACGGCTTTCGTTGTCCTGCAGGCGCTCGCCTGCTGCAGGGCCAAGCGCGACACCCCCTCCGACAACTCGGGGCCGCAGCAGGATGGGGAGGTCGCTGCCCTCGGCACTATGTAGTTAGATATTGAAACACGTTAAGATGGGCTACGTTGGTTGAGTAGCGCGGGTGTCCGCTGCTGCTGCTGCTCCTGCTGAGGTAACGTAAGCCCGGATTCCGTACCTATCGTGCATTAACGATGTGAGTATGCGCGGTTTTGGGTATGCGCGGTCGTCTGCGAAAAAATGAATGGTATCCAGTTTGAGAGGCCGAAGTCGGAACATCCATACTAGTTTCTCCTTCTGATACCGTCTTTCCAAGAGAGCAGGGGCGCTATCTCTGCTCTTCCTTCGTGGCAAAGATTTGACCACAAACCAACGGTTGAGTGCGACGGACGCAATCCTCACTTCGCATCTTTTCCCAACGCTTCGTCCACATCCTTCGGTGACCTCTCACACCTGACCATTGTGGGTTGTGGCGATGCGAAGGGTTTCTGAGTCTTCGAGGGCGGTTGGTAGGCAGTCCTTCTCCTATGAGTGAGGGACAAATGCTGTGTTATGCTTCATCGACTTGCTGCCCTGGTTTCTTTGTGTTTGGCCGGGCCTTGGAAGAGCTATTGTAACACGAAGAGTGCCTGCCATGTTTGCGTGATTATGCTGTGCGACCACCACAACAAGTGGACCAGAGCCACACTCTTACCTTAAAGGCGACGCGTGCGCGTGTCAACTCGACACGCGTCGCCTGTAATTAAGGTAGAGTGCGTGCATCATCATTCAAGTTTCCTCCTCTCCTCTGAGAGCCGACCTTTCATTTTGTCGCTTGATAGGTACCGGTTGACATAGACATACAAGTCTGGAACACACGTCGTAGATCGGAAATTCAACCAAAACCATGAACCACCCTGCACGATCAATTCGCTCCATGAGCAACACCTACAGCATAAACAACATATGAATTGAATGTTGCGCTTGCACCCCGCACCCAACATAAGAATGTTTCGCACCAATTCCATACGATCAATCGAGCAACCAGGTTCAACACGAATTTCGTATGTCCTTGGATGTGATGTGTGACCGAGGCCGGCACCTACATGTTTTTCTGCACATGGTTTCCCGAAAACTACATTTCAAATGGCGCAAGGAGGGCGCCCTTGAAACATACAGACAAGTGCAATCAGCGCATGATTAATGTATTTCGTAGCCGGCGTCTGTGTGGTGCATGCCTCTTTTCAGTGACGAGCGAGATTGGAGGCATGTTGATCGCGTAAGAGAGCAAGGCGATTTTGTGGCTTCAATGCTGCAGTAGGGGCATTCTGCTTGCTTTACGTCGTCAATTTCAGGCGCCTCGGTGTTGGTGCTCATGCCAGCGACAGAGCTCAGTATCATGCTGTCTGTGCAATCATAGCAGAATATTCCGTTTAGCCATGGTTGAGCTTCCTCTGGAAATCATATGCATACGCGCCTCGAAAAAATATAAACGGAAAATGTTAACCGTCCAGGGGAAATCTTTGGTACACCATCCACCCAAACGACTTGAATACACTCTAGCACGTATTTACTTCGTCCATGTACAATTGCTTCAGGAAGGACCAATCGACCAAAAAAAAACTACCCGATACGATGTAGTCTAGTCTGTGCATACGATACAAATCCAAATATATACTGCCTATAGACTAGACTACATATTTTTTATTTTATTATTTTATTTTGATCGGTCTCCTCGACGCTCTTTCTCGTTTGGTGCGGTAGCTGGTCTTTCTTTCTATCATTTTGTTTCTCTTCCGAGTGGTTTTTGTACCCTATTTTTTTCTGTTTCTTCGTGGGGTCGTGTATGCCGGGTTTTGAGACCACGGGCTCCCAATCTTTTTTTTTTTAGAGCTAGTCTAATGTGAGAAACAACAACAACAACAACATACTAATAGGACCATGGGCATCCCTCGCGCGTCTCGCGTGTCACCTGCGCCGGATTAGCTCGAAAATTGCAGAGGGTAGACAAGGGGATGGGAGCACAAACGTGGCACCCCTCCATGTGGGGCGGGATTAGTGATCGACGGGGCCGTGGTTGTTTTCATCGCATGTGTGGCCGCTCCAAGTCGACCCGCGCTTCGATTTTGCTCGTTCTTTTTAGGGGATGGGTGCTGAACATGTGGCCATTTCGTGAGACACCTGACCTGCCTGTCGCTGCTCGTGCTGTTCTCTCAGTTCGACGAGCTTGGTTTAAGAGTTGGGCGCGTGCGTGATGTACAGTGGGGGTAGTGTTGCGTTCAAAACGGCAAAACACACCTATCGAATGATAAATCAGTCTACCAGGTTCCAAGTTTTTGAAAGACAAATGTCGAAAATTTTGACAAAACAAGTTATAACGGCCGTAAAGCCAGATGTCTAATCCACGCTCCAACAAACGACAAATCTCATGTAGGCTTGCAGGATGCCCTTACACGGGTGATCGTGAGCCCAGATGGAGATGTACAAGGAACGACACCGACACGAAAGGTTGATCCCATGTGACATGTGTCCCACAAAGGATTTCGGATAGTAGAACGTCCCGGCCAACGAATTGTCGCGTATGTAACAGGTTTACTAACGGTATAAAAAAAATGAGGTAGATATGATGTCTGTTTCGCCCCTCATCCAACTTCGACCACGCTAATGATTGATTGTTTTAACCTGTACAGGTATGATAATGACTTGGACAGAGGGCGAGTTCAAGGAGGGTATCATCTCCGTGTGGGACAGATTCTTTCCAGGGCAAGAGCATGGGCTGACCGAAGCCACCGAGAAGCCCGAGGGGAAGCAGGTCCAAGATCTACAGCAGCTTCAAAGTCAAACGCATCCGCCAGCGGTGCGTACACCTTTTTGTCTCGTAGATATACAGTACGGCCCGCTGCTATCCGTACTGAACTCGAGCCGCAGTCCGGCGTTTTTACCTGTGTGGAGCAACTGCGGCCTTTCAACTACTTCCCCGCATACTCTGCCAGGCAGGTACCATACTCGGCGTAATATGAGGTTTCTTGGAATTTCACGTTGTGGGACGGAGACTCTCAGCTTGTAGCTTATTCGCCGATCTGCTACACTGCGGTCGATTCGTGTAGGTGACCTCGTTATGGACGCTTCTTAGGAAAGTATGGCACCTGATCGTAGTCTACAACGGTTCATGATCGAGACATACGCTGCGATCCTTCGAAACCACGTGAACTACGTAAACGCCACTTTGTACGTAGTCTAGACTATTATTTCTCATACTACTACCGTCGATTCTGACCTTGCTCTTATGCAAACCTTCTTGGGCAACCTCAACCCGCCTCCCCGAGCCCCGTTGGCCCTTTTCCTTCCCCAAGGCCTCGAACCACAGCCCCGCCTTCCCTCGAACCAAGGCGCAGGTTGGGCAATCCCGGTAGCTAATTTGCAACATTTCTTAATCACAAGGAAAGTGCGCTCCGTGTTGTTGCCAAATACCACAGCTGTTTGTAATGACAACGAATACGATATCCTGCACCTTCCTTTTCGCCTTGGCCAAAACCCAACGCAGCTTGTTGTAGTGCAACTTTCCTACCCTAACCCCCCTACAGGCTCTTATTGCCGGATCTACAATCCGCCCAAACAAACACAAGCGTCTGTCCGGAAACCCCAGAACGATGACGACGTGGTACTCGTTGGCGCATTCGCTGGCTTACGTAGCATGCCCATCGTCACTCCACGCAAGTTTCAATCACGCACAGACGGTTGCGCAGTAGACTATTCATCATCGCGGTCGGCGTGATATTTAACCTGCGTCTACTTTTCGACACACTACATTCTTATTCACCGACATCTGAATGCAACACAGGGGGTGAAGCTAACTTTGAACAACAAGTCAAGCTTAGGTTGGCAAGAAACGATCTACATCCATGAGCATGAGATTCCACATCGCTCAAGAATTGTGAATGTGCTCGAACGCGTAGCACGAACGATATCAGCTAGCCGCTGTCTCGTTCCTTCCGATCCCTACCATAGAGTATCTATCTGCCTTACATACAAAGTCTGCCACCTACGATCCGGCTATGTACGCTGGAACCACGCCTCCGGATCCTGTGATGCGAGTGTCTCCGTTCAATCCGTCCAATTGCCGCGTCGTGGTTGAAGCTTTCATCGTCTCTCCTCGTTTGTGCCGTGCACAAACTACCCTTTGTCCGCCGTTGGAACGTCAAGAGGAGCGGCGGTGGGAACTGACTCCTCCTCCTGACGTCACGAGCGGCTGACGAGGATTGACCTTTCTCGGCGTTTCGTTTTCTTTCGCGAAGCAACTCTGACGAGCTGGCCAACAACAACATCCGGAAGAAATAGAGCAACATCACGCGGCGTACTGCTGCCTCTTACGGCTACCCTAAGTGGTAATCTTCTAGTGGCCAATCTGCACGACTCCCTTGCAACAGGTTGTGGGTTCGAATCTTTCCGCAAAGGTTTTTTGCCCGCGCTGTAGTTCCAGCAACCTAATGTTGAAAACGAGCTACAGCCGTAGGTCGTGAGTAAACACGCTTCGGCTTCACGATCGACGAGGGAAAGCGATGGCTGGACCAATCTCGCGAAAAAAAACAAGGCGAGGACCGCAGGGGGGGGGAGGTACTCGTAGTCGTGCATGCCGTAGTCGTTTGACCATTGACCTCGCATCCCTACAAAGCCGGGACGGAGCACGCCGGATCCTCACCGGACCAGGCTCTCACATCACCAAGCGCGAAGCGCCGTGAGGTATTCGGCGAGTCGCATGAAGGGTGCGCTGCATCCTGCTAAGGCTGTTGGGAATCTTGTGCTTACTTCCTTGCGTACGGATGACAGCTGCGTATGACTTGAGTACTTGTCTGGTGCTTTCACTTCCAGAGACAGTTAAAGGCACTGTGTAACTGCGTCGAGGGTGCTTGACCATTTGACAGAACGTGGTGCGGTCTTCCCCCTTGCACGGAGTGAGGCTTCTCCACCCCGCACAACATGATCCACTCGACCACCGTTATGGTCACCGCCAAAGCAGAACAGAGGAACAAAACAACAACGGTGACCTGGTTGCCGAGCTCACGAAGTGAATTGGCTTGTGATACGACGTCGTTGCCAAGCGACGAAAACCCAACCCCGATGGCAAACGCCGGGGGGCGGGGGGCGTGTACTCATGGTCGTGCATGCCGTGGTCGTTAGACATTTGACCTCGCATCCCTACAAAGCCGGGACGGAGCACGCCGGGGTCTCACCGGACCAGGCTCTCACATCACCAAGCGCAAAGCGCCGTGAGGTGTTCGGCGAGTCGCATGAAGGGTGCGCTGCATCCTGCTAAGGGTGTTCGGCATCTTGTGCTTACTTCCTTGCGTACGGATGACAGCTGCGTATGACTTAATTTATTTTCTGGTGCTTTCACTTCCAGAGACAGTTGTAAGCACTGTGTAACTGCCTCGAGGGTGCTTGACCATTTTAACACAACGTGGTGCGATCATCCCCCTTGCGCGGAGTGAGGGTTCTCCACCCCGCACAACATGATCTACTCGGCCACCGCCAAAAAACAACACAA